ATATTTATAATAAAATTATTTTAACTTTTATATAATATTAAAATAGTACAGGAGTGTTCGTATTGCTACTAGTACAGTACCTGTGTATTACACGAGTGTTACTTATTATATTTATAAAAAAATATTAATAATACAAAATATATTTTAATAAAATTTATAATATAATTATTTTAATTTTTATTTAATATTAAAATAGTACACGAGTGTTACTTATTTTGTATTGCTACCAGCACAGTAACCGTGTATTACACATGTGTTACTTATTAAATTTATAATATAATTTATAATAAAAAATATATTTTAATAATATTTATAATACAATTATTTTAACTTTTATAAAATATTAAAATAGTACACGAGTGTTCCTTATTTCGTATTGCTACTAGTGCATTACCCGTGTATTGCACGAGTGTTACTTAATAAATTTATAATAAAATTTTAATAAAAAAATATATCTTAATAATATTTATAATCTATTTATTTTAATGTTTATAAAATATTAAAATAGTACACGAGTGTTACTTATTCCGTATTGCTACTAGTACAGTACCCGTGTATTACACGAGTGTTTTGTGCACATCACTTTATTATGTAATAAAGAGGGTGGTTGTAACGGGTGGAAGAGAGGTAACTTTCACCTCTGTTACACGCATCAGTTTCACCTCGTTTTTAGGTGAGTGTAATAACTATTGTTTAAATTATAGGTAGCATTACACGTTAATTTTTTTTTTTTTAACGAAATTGTATTGAAAAAGAAACGGGTAAAATCTGACAAAGTGTATTGACTGCACGGTTCACAATATTTTTTTTTGTTGTTATTCTACTTGGAAAGAATATTGTTATTACTCAACAAATGTTCATAAACAGTTTTTTTTTCTCGGTTATTATAAAACAAAGGAACTTGTATAACTATCCGGTTGTCCCTACAAGTCACACGTCTGAATTTCATGTAGACAAAATCAGAAGCCATCAAATTTCGTATTCTCGCACCGGCCCGAACCAGACAGTTCTAGGTGACCATTGAGGTATGTATTCATCCGTTTTGAGTTGGCCATATTACAATTTTACGAATGATGTGTCTGTAATGTGAAGATGTACATATTGGGTACGAGTGTATGACCAATTGTCATATCTCTGTCTTTTGTCGTTTGTACGTGTGGGGTGTTATTTTGTTACGTGAACTTGTAGTCTTTACGAAGTCGTTACATATTATGGTTGTAATGCAAATACATTCACTATTTTTTTTATCAGGTATGGCAAATACGTTTGACCTGTTTCTAAACAATTATTACAGATGCAAGCAGGCCGACTTTGATATGAAAATGCCCGATCGAGCAAACATGTTTTATTTTTTAATTTAATATGTATATTGATACCACCATGAATATGCATGTCGAATTCATGCAGGCATTGCCTGAGTCAATCCACAATCAATATACAAACCATATCACGACGAATTGTACAATAGCTACTAGGGAGCACCGGTCTTATGAAGTTTAGTTGGTAAAAGTGGGAAATGAATTGCAATTTGTTGATGGTTGGGACTACTTCGTACGAGCAGAGGATATTCGCTCGGACTACATTTTGTATTTCGAGCGCAACAGTCTATATGAATTTGTAGTGAAAGTGTTCACTTTTAATTCGGTTGAACGACCTCCCCAATATTGCTTCTTACTAGATATGAAGAAAACGAATGTACAACAGGCACGTTTGGTGCGTTTCACATTTCACTTCAAGTGCGGTAAACTAAAACAAAAGAATATTAATTCCATTGTCTTTACTATTGTAGGCCATTCCAATCAATTTTTAGAGGGAGCATATCGAACACCAAATTAATGATACTAGTAGAGCAATGTTAATGTGTAAAGGAGGTCGATACACTGTCCCAATCATCCAAGCGCATGGTAAGACATTGATGGAACATGGTGATTCGCGTGAATTTATGGACCGAAGTGGAATCGTCGAGGGCGTCACATGCGTATTCACTTTAATTCCATATGAGTGTTTTGTTTTCAAGTTCAGTATATTGGATGAATAAACACATGTAATCCTGACAAAGTGTTTTGCATAATTGCATGTTTCGAGTAAATTGCATGTTTTATGATATATGTAATAACTTTTTCTTTTCATTGTATGCAATATATAATATTGATTAGTTGCATGTTATATATATTTATATATAACTTTTTACGTCATGCAAATTACACGTGCGTTCCGAATTGACAAAAAAGAAGGTGTATAAAATGAGGGTACATTGAAAAATATATTTGATTTGTTTTTTTAACACACAAATATATTTGATTAGTTATAATTTTAACACAAATATACTGATATTTTTTTTTGTTCCAACAAACAAATCTCGAACACGGTTATTTGCGGCAAAAGTTTATCAACGAACACGAATATTTCATTTGATTTTCTTTGCTTCAAATAGTTCATTTTATTAACAATGAATTGTAGTATGAACATTTAAAAAAAAAATGTTGGGTAAAATAGGGTGAAAAGGGGAAACATCCCATACCTATTGCTTTTCATCAAAAGGTGTACGTGTTGTTTTATTATGCATGAAAAGAATGAAATAAACAATAGTATTGCACATCTGGTATGGACAATTTTACATCACATGCCAAAACAGTGGCCTTTTTTTTTTTATTCATCACATGTCACTCTCACTGATTTTTTTTTTAATCTGCAACTGGCCCTGATCATGCCAGAAGAATCTGTTGAATGTTGTAAAAGCAACCCCAACAAGTTGCGCTATGTTACTTTATATATATACTATATATTCACGTTGAGAAGATGCAAAAAAAAAAAAAAA